GCATTGTCAAAAATTCAAATTAATTACTTAAATCTCACCTTGCGAGATAAATTATCCTATTAGTGGATTGTTAGAACTTAGAAGTACTTATTTGTAAAGCTTCGCCAAATAACTTCACAACTCATAAACCTAAAAAATTATTTGAGAAATGGATCAGTCAACAAGATATTATACTAATTATTTTCCAGTATTTTATTTAAAATACTATAATTTCTAAACACTACCCTTGTGTTTTGGATAAATTAAAGGGTAAAATAGTAAATTGACTCCCTCAAAATTTTAACTTAAGAATGTCTAGGGTCTCAAAATTATTTCTAGTACAATATTCTCTTTTAACTTTTAAAAATGATATAATCTGACTCTTATTATTGATAAAAGTTAATTTTGATTGTTATTTGATCAAAAAAGATATTAAAAATTATAGAAAAGTACCAAAAAATATAGTAAATAACTCAAAAAATACAAATAAGGACTCAAAAATTACAGAAAAAACCAAGAAAATTTTATTAGTCACTTTTTATAACTTTTAAGGTCAATTACTGTTATTTTTTGGCTAACTAATGGTCAAAACTAACTTTTATTAAAAATAGGGATTAGATTACACTATTTTTAAGAGTTAAAAGGAATGCAAAATTAAGTTTAAAGTCTCGTATCCTCATAAACGTTAAACCTATAATTTAAAGACTTATTTTCTCAGGCTAAGGGTCATTTTTATTTTTGAACTATATATAAAAGTTCACAAATATTTCCAAACTTAATAATGAGTCAATTTTATTTCTCAACTTTAAAGATTTTCCTTCTCACCATCTTGCCATTTTTCTCACCATTAGTAGGCCTCACATTATATTTTTTTATTATAAAATTTTGAGTTGAGGAGTAAAAATGACCCTTTAAATAAAAGCTGAGAGACAGAAATAACCCATAACTTGATAAAAAAATTAAAAAACAATGAGATCCATTGATGATAACGAACGTTAAGTATTTTTAATGTCAGGGTGCTGATAGAGGGGAATCTTTAAAATTAGGGGACAAAATTAATTCATAATTAAGTTTAGGGGCATTTGTAACTTTTTATATATAATTGAGGGACAAAAATGATTCTTAACCCTTATTCTTTTATCCTAAACTAGATTTTATTAGTCGTATGATGCACAGGATATTAATTCTCATTTTTGTTTAAGGTGAATAAAAATAATATTTTAATGAATTTATTTTTTTTAAAAAATGGATAAATATCTATAAAATTTTATTTGAGAGATGTAAAAAAATTAAAAAAGTAATTAAAAAATTTCTAACCACAATTCTCTATTTTTCTAAAATTGAAGTCATTAAAATTTAAAATCTCACCTCCCAATTATTTTCTTTGAACAAAATAAATCATAAAAAATTAATAGAAGCTAAATTATGAGTAAATATTAATTTTTTAATTTTATAAAAATAATAGTTTATTGAAAGTGTGAAATAAAATTGTACACGTAGTTATAGATTAATAACTATAATAATAAAATTTAATTACATACTTTTATTTCCTTAGCATATTTGTGATTAAAAAATATAAAAAAAAATAATTTGTTCTATCATAAAATTTATTATCCCATAGATAATCAAATATAGATAAAAATTTATTTTAACCTATGAATTGTTATATCCATGAAAATTAAAATTTTAAAACAGATCATAATAAAAAACATTCTAGAACATATATCTTATTTTTTATATATTTTTTAAATTGCATGACATCATGTGCCTATAAAAAAAGAAAAAATATAACTTTATATTTCTGTATTTTTTTTTATATTTTAGGTTCCTATTGCAGGGACTCAAAGTTATGTTTTCTTTAAAAAATATAAACATTTTTTATACGTGACCTTACATAAATTAAAATTTAACAACAAATTCTATTTAAAAATTTATTGCTTGTAAATATAAATGATCACTTATTTTATTTAAATATTTCTTATCCTTGTGCATATAAAAAATGAAAATAACACAATTTTTATATGGTTATTTGACTAACTCAAATTGGAGTATTATTGAGCACAATTTAAAATAGTTTTTCTGAAAATAATTTTTACATTCACACATTTTTTTATTATATAATTGTTCACCTTTTCATCAACTTATTTTTATTATATAACTTGTCATTTTGTATATATTAAAAACATGGGTGACATATTTTATAAACAAAATTTATTCCCCTTACATTTTGTTATTAAAATTTAAAATTTAAAAATTAAATTATAATATATATAAACAAAAATTATGTTAAAATACTATCACTCAATGTAGATTATAACTCATTCTACTTTATAATTTATTACCTAATACATATTTAAAAAGGAATGATAAAATTTACTTCAATAATAATTTAGCCTCTTAAGTAGACTTGACTTTTTATAATTTGTGAACATTAATTAATAATTTTATTATAATTTTTCAATTTACATTTTTATTACATGTTTTGATATTTATCATTTACAACTACTTTTATAATAAAAAAAATTAGATAGTCTTATATGATAAAATATCTTACAACCATTCAGTTAAATTGAACAATTATTATCATACTATATGTGACACTCATTAAGTGATAAGATTTATTTTAATTATTAAATCCAAATCTGATGTATCTCACAAAAGCACTATAGTTCTATCATAATTTATGAACAAATTTTACTATATATTTCATCATTTTTAGATATAAAATTTTTTTCATATTGTTTGTTGTTATTTTTCATAAGCAAAAAAATAATTTTCAAAATGGATTTATGACATCTTTTCTTAATTACTGATAGTATCACTAAATTAGAAAAAGAAAAGTAAAAGGTTAATCACAAGCAAATCTTAATCTAAACTTTTTAGTTTCAGACAATATCATTAGGATTAACTAATTTTTTAAATCATGTAAATTGATTAAAATTTACTTATATATAAAAGCAAACGGGAATAAATTGATTGATTTAAATAATAAAATATTTCATTTTTTAATTTATTATTTAAATTTGTATATTATATACAATTAATTATCTTATCCATATACAAAATACAAGTAACAAATAATAAATCTCCTACACTTACCCAAAAAAAAATTGATTTCATACATATTATTTTTTTATGAGTCTTATATTTGCAAGCATTTTTTACTATAGGTTTCACACTCATTTTTTTCAATTCTTATTATAAGTTTTGTGTAAACTCTTATTATACAAAAATAAAAAGAAAATAAAAAAGAAAAAACCATAATACTGTTCATCCAATTATAGATGAACGATCTATGATATGCACTTTACAATATATATGACTAGATTTTCACACGGGATATGGTGCTTTTAGAATGCTATATTCATTTTGTTCATGGTGATAAATTATATTGTATATATAAAATTAGTTGGATTCAGTGATTTAGTTTTTTTATATATAAGTAGTTTATATATCATGTACGTCAATACTATATTAATTGTCAATATCAATGTCAAAAATGAAATGTAAAGCAACTTTAATATTTTAAAATAAAATTTAATCTTTTAAATAGTTGGATCACTATAAAACTATTGTGATTTATCTCGAATTTGAATTTGCTACATGATTTAAATCTACTCATTCAACAACTATATCTATAGAACCAATGCTTCTTTTTTTAAACTCACATCAAATGTTTTTGTTGACAATTTAAATATTTTTTATTTAAATGGTGATTGAAACATCTATTATTTAAAGTAATTGTCGGATAACCCATTTTAAATTTTAAATTTGTAGAGTTAAATTTTTATAATATGTGAAAATTAAATTTATAATTTTATTATAAATTCTCTATTTATATTTTTAATAAAATGGTAATCACAAATACATTTTAATTCAAATTTTTAAATTATATATATAATTATTATGATTAATTATTTTTTTAAACTGTAAAATTGATCAAAATTTGCTCATATATAAAAGCAAACTGGAAAAAGTTGATTGACTTAAATAATAAAATATTTTATTTTATAATTTATTTTAAAATTTATAGGTTATATTTAATTAATTATTTTATACGTTGATGAAATACAAGCAACAAATGATAAGTCTCTTACATTTACAAAAAAAAAAAAAATCTCATACATATCATTTTTTTCACGAGTCTCATACCTAAAAGCATCTTTACTGTAGATCCCATACCTATTTTTCCAATTTTTATTGTGGGTTTCACATCTGTTCATTCAACCATAGATAAACAGTGCCATGATGCAATTTACTATACATAGATTAAATAAGCTTAAAGAGATCAGATTGGTAGCATTATAAAATTTATATATTCAATAAATTGATAAAAGGTCGTTGGTCCATGTTGATAATAATAAATATAATGTCACTTGGATGTTATATATGCATACACACATAGATATATTAATAAATGGATCCCGCCATATAATTTAACAATAGTGAATGCGATGGATGGCAAACATCCAATGAATATGAGGTGCCCCTCCATCCATCTTCGAACATCAATCGCCAAAAGGCAAAAGCAATGAGAAAAGCAATTCAAACGGCAAATCACGTTCCCAAATAAGCGGCTGAAAACAAAAAAATTAAATGGTCAGATATGCACATACAGGTGATTGCGTATGTTACATATTCTACGTTAAACTATTTTCTGGAACAACATCAATTAGACACGCTACGGGTCTACAACCAGACGATGAGATTTGACATAACAACAAATATTGTATTATTTTTACAAATTGTTTATTAGGCTTCACAGAAAAAAGTTCGCGCGACACCTTATTATATGTTTCATTTATTTATTATTTATTACTATAGTTTAGGGTTTAGGGTTTAAATTCACCATATTTTCCATTCATTATTTGAATTGGATATCTTGACTTCGCATGATGAAATGGAATTATCCAGTGAGTCAAAATAAACAAACTAAAAGAAAGGTACCAAACTTGTCTGGTTTCCATGAACAGCGAAACACGCAAGAGGAGAGCAGAAATGCGAAATGTGACGAAGAAAAAGAACGCGACAAAACGATTCCTTTTGTTATTTTTTTTTTTAAATTTCGGGTAAACTCATAACGAAAGTCGATCACAAATAAAACCTCTATGCATGAAAACACCTAGCAGAAACTAATTAATTATCATCTGAAAGCAGGAGGAAGGTAATTATTGACTGGTGCAGGATCAGTCGCCGTCCTCATACGACTTCCAGAACCAGTGCTGGCTCCACACCCTTTCAGTCATCTCTTCGATGGGTTTGTTCTTAGTCTCCGGGATGAAGAATATGGTGAACAGCGTCATGGCCACGATCCAGGCCGAGAAGAACAAGAAGATGGCGAACTTCATGGTGCAGAGCATGGATAAGAAGGACTGCGCTATTATGAAAGTGAAGAGCATGTTAGCGAACACCGTGACGCTCTGCCCGGCTGACCTGGTCTCCAGAGGGAATATCTCGCTGGGAATGAGCCACCCCAGCGGGCCCCACGACCAGGCGAAGGCTCCGACGAAGGCGCACAAGAGCACCACCACCAGTATGGCCAACCCACTTGATAACTTGTCGGAGTGATCCGAAACCTTCAGCCCGAGCAGTATGGCCACGGCCACCTGAGATAGCAACATCTGGGCGCAGGCCTCCAGAAGTAACACTCTACGTCCGAGCTTGTCCGCCAAGGACACAGACACTAGGGTGCACAGCACGTTCACCAACCCCGTGATGACAGCCGAGTACAGAGAAGCGTCGCTCTCGAATCCCAAGGTGCTGAACAGCACGGGTGCGTAGAACATGATGGCGTTGATCCCCGTGAACTGTTGGAACACCTGCAATAAGAGGGAAATGACCAGCATGGGGCGGTTCTTACGCTTCAAGAGTTTGCTCCAGGGGTTCTTTATCTGTTTAGCTTTATTGCTAGCCTCCACCAGCTCGTTGTACTCCGGATCCACGTTCTCCACCCCGCGAATTTTTTTCAGCACCGCCTTCCCTTTTTCCAGCTTTCCCCTCTCTATCAGACTGTTTGGTGTGTCATCCACCATCATCGCTCCCAGAGTCAGCATCAGTGCGGGTACTGCCGCCAAGCCCAACGATATCCTCCACCCGTATCCTCCTTTGATCCTGCATCATAACACCCGTAAATTCCTTCCCTTCATTGTCAATGTGTACGTGTGTGTGATTGATTGGCTTATTATATCACTCTGCGTGTGAGTAACATGAATATAGACAGGGCATACTTGGCGGTGAACCAATTGATAAGATTTGCAATGAGAATGCCAATGGTGACGTTGAGCTGGAAAAGGATGTTGAGGGCTCCCCGAATTCTGGTGGGTGCGATCTCGGAGAGGAAGACAGGGACGGCTTGGTTGCCGAAGCCGACTCCAATCCCAAGAAGGATCCTGCCGACGATGAGCATTTCGATGTTGATGGCGGCAGCGTTGATGACTGCTCCCACGATGAAGATGACGCCGCCCATAAACATGGTGAGCTTGCGGCCGACCTTACGGTTGATGCTGCCGGCGAACATGGTGGCCACCAAGGCCGCAAGGTAGAGAGAAGACGTGAAGAGCTGGAGGTATTGGTTGTCGTATTTGCAGTAGTTGCTGTTTTGGCCCGTCTTTTCTGCGATGGTTCTTTCGTATACGGCATGAAAAAACTTTTTCAGAAAACTCGGCATCGATGTCACACCACCCGATATGCCTACGTCGTAACCGAACATGAGCCCGCCGGTCGCCGCCATCACGCATGAAATGATCACCGATGAGGTGATCTTTGCCTCAAATTCACCCCCCGGCGCGCCTGAGAATCCCCCGGCCACCATATTGCTTTACTTGCTGCTGAACTGTGTTCACTGAGAATGGAATTGATTATCAAATGCGTGCTCTGTCCAGACTTTCTTCTCTCGCTCTCGCTCTCCCCCCTTCTGCCAAGCTAAGGGAAGGTACTAAATAATGATGGTGCTTGTACGAGGTTGTTGTTTTCGGTTTTGCCCGTGTGGTTCAGCAGAGACTGGTTATAACAAATGCGAGAAAGCCCGGAGAGCGGGTTCTGGGAGATGGTAACCGCCGACGGCGACGGGGAGAGCGAAGTGAAGAAGTGGAAGTGAGAAGCTAAGTGAGGAGTGTATAAATATGATAAAATATGGTTTGGATTTATTTAATTAGTTGAGATATGCATGGAATCTTGTTTTGGGAATCAATGGCTGACGTTTTTCCTTTGACTCACTGCAGCAAATTAATTCCCTGTCATCCCGCATTTTTGGATCAACAACTCAATCCTTTGCAAGCACAAACCACTTCTTCTTCCGACAACTCATGTTTTTATTTCATGAATTTGACTTATTCTCTTGCGAGCTTGGTCCATCTGGATATATATCATTTATTCTCACCGAGCAAATTACAAATAAGCTAAGCAACCATATATCAGAAACTCTCGCCTCTTTATCCAACTAAGGATTGCGAATCTGTGATATGTGCGCGCGTGCGCGCACAATGATTCAAATAAAACAAGGTGAAATCAAAATTGACACAGCAGAAAACTAGTGCTCCTATATAAATTTAAACATCTCGTGTTTAATCAGAAGCTTGAATCTACTTTCACAAATTTAATATATGGAATAGTTGTAACTGCTAAAGAATAAATAAGGCATCAGTTCCCGTAATGGCTTCATGCAGCAAGTTTGAAATTTTTTGTCCAGAAAACTATTCCGTGAACCTACAAGTGAGTCCCTGAAAATATCAAGAGTTATGTTAAAAAAGATAAAATGGTGTGTAATGATATTCTTCAGTGGTTTTGTTGTCAAAAGCTGAGAAAATGGTCGAGACGTACGTGTTTCATGACTTTATCTGTTATATATAATTCACAGTATTTTATAAAGTATAAATTAGATACCTGGTAATTCTTTAAATGATTAATGACAATGTGATATAATAAAAACATTCTTATCATAAAATTATCATTTTATTTCAAACATTAAACTAAAAAATATAACATGTCCTTATCTTTATATTTAAAATATTCTAAAAAATTTCTATAAAAAATAATAATATATTTTTATAACAAAAAATAACATATTCTTTTTTTTTGTACGTTCTAAAAACAAAGAAAACAACATTTTGTGAAAAGCTCGTGATTGGGCTTGTCGCAAAGGCCCATCAGCCACCTAGCCTATTCTTGGAGGAGGCCCATACGCTGTGTGCTCAAGGATCCAATAGATTGTTTGGTTTCTGGTTTTTTTTTTGAAAAAAATTAAAATTCATCTGAATAAATATTTTAAATTTAATTATTCTTAAAAATTTTCTCATTTTTATTTTTAAAATAATAGAATAGAAACATCTTGAAACAAAATAATAGTTCCCATGAGCTACTGTTACTACTGCATTCATTCTATTCTCGGAATTTGCCTTTCAAAGACTATCGCTAATATGAACTGAAACAATAGTTGATTCTAAGGGCCTGAATGTTTGTGTTCCATTTTTTTTTATTTAAAAATTGTTTTATAGTAAAGCTTTAAAATTATTTTAAAAAAACAAAAAATCTATTTAATTATATTAATCTAAAAACAATTTTAAAGTTAAGAAGTTACTTGATAGCAATAGTTCCCAAAGGTTAATAGTAATGGCTTATAATAATGATTTATATAACGCAACTATATTTTTCAGTAACTAAATATAATGTATTTTAAAAATAAAAAATAAAATAAAAATAGCTTTAATATGTTTCTATCTTTTATTTTAAAAATAAAACAGATTTAAAAACAATTAAAATTAAGTTATTCATCCAAACAATTTTTTTTTATTTCTTTACCTTTAAAAATGAAAAAAAAAACAGAAAAGTCCTAAAAAAATCATTCTCTGTGTTTTGTTTTGAATAAAAAGACCACGAGCACGATGCAACTAACAACAAAAAAACAAAATTACGTAATATCGGAAAGCACAAGGTTGATGCACCCTATCCGGGGATCACTGGGAATAGCTGCACCCAGAAAATGAGAGACCTTCTCGTGGATCAACGAGACACGGTAATAGCATAGCCCTTCCCTTACACCCTTTTTCTTCAAGCTTGATGTTGCCTTCGTATTCCAAGAACTGATGATGAATTAAAGGGCTTGGTGATCCAAGAAGAAGAACGAATGGGCCCAAATGTGCATAGAGCCTATAATGCCAAATTTTGGTAAATGGAGAATGAAGTTGTAAACTTGTAACTAAGATTTGGTTATGTTTAATATCATTCGAGGCCAAGGCAATAGTTTTTAGGAAAAATTGCTCAAAAACACCTAACCAACACATCTATTGCCAAAAAGGCCATAGTAGATAAATGACTTAAATGCCCTTAATGGTTAAAAAAAAAAAGAACAAGGTCCTTCGCTGTCAATATGTTACACAAAGTCTTTCAGTGATGATTTATTGTGAACTAAAGTACAAGTTCCTTTAATGTTAATATGTCACATAAGGCCCTCCAGTAACAATGTGTCTGTACCTAATGTGTACCTATGAAAGTTTTTTGCATATAACAAAAAAGTTTTGCATATGACAAAAGAAACATTGTCAAGTAATAGAGAAATACTGAAATAGCGAGAGGGCGATAAGAGGAGTTGAGTCTCTACCCAAGGGCATCACTTTGTGGGCACTTTGAAGGTGATTTAAGATCAGTTCTCACCTAGATATGTCTTCCTCATCCCTCCCTCTCCCCTCTACATAATTTTTAGCTGGGTTATAGAGTTGGAAGAGCAAGATATTTGGACCTAAGGCTAAGAGTCCAAACTCATTAGTTCTACGGGGACTAATAGGAGTTCTTTAACATTTCCAAACCTAGTTTTGAGGATCTAAGAAGGTTGTGAGTTTAGATCTAAAGTTTTTGACGAACCCTAACCACTTTTAGTAAGATTTTGCATTGTTGGATGACACATAAGTTGTTACTTAAGCTAATAGGAGTTAAATAAAGTTAATAAACTCATTGAATGTGAGTTTGGATTTGTTGTTAGGAAATTTGGTTGTTAAAGTATGAGTTTAGGAGTTGGAAATGGTAATTATGTAGTTGATTAGTGATTATGATCATTATTACTTGTAGATTAATATTGTGGCACATTGTTTAAGCTCATTGCATGCTCAAGAAGCAAATTTTCAAAGGTAACCTTTGAGTTCTCAAATGTTAGAGGTAACTTGGGTAATTTTATGTCGTATTATTGCATGTTAGATTAGTTATGGTATTATAAATATGAATATTATGCTTTCTATTCAAATAAACTCATTTATTATTTTAAAAAATGAATTACAAGTGTGGCCTTTTTGCATCAATTAAGACAAATGATTTTGGAAATGCTATTATATTCTTAAATGATTGGATATGAAAAATTGGGATAATACATACATGCTTGTGCTAGCTTGATTATGCTAAGGATTATTAGTATGTATGGTAATGATTTAATTGATGTTGCATGATCATATTTTGGGTAGGAGGTTACTTTAAGACAAGTTAGTATTTAATTTCCATGTGGAATATAACCAATATCATGTGTGGCCTTGGTGACATAGTTTTAAGGTTGGGTCTTCCTAAATCTTGCCTAGAAATATATGTGAACATAGGTTGCCTAGATCCTTGCCCTTAACCTCCCCATTGCTGGGTGAATGGTAAGACTTGTAACACCCTAATGATTTTAAGAATGGGAGAATTTATGGTTTGAGAATAACTACAGCCCTTTGGCTAGGTAGCTCCTCATGATTGTTAAGTTTGGGTTCATCTATTCATACAAACTCGATCCTATTAAATTGTCAGCCTATAAATTCATTTGGCTATATATGGATAAGATAAGGAGTGTTTGAGTGTTTGATTATGCATCGATGATATCATGTGACATGACATTGAGCTATATGCTTGAACAAACTTTAAATGCATATTTGTATGCCTTAATTAATTTGACTTGCATGTAGATGATTTAAAGTTATGTTGTTTTCTAAGTGAATGTACTTACTCCTATTCTATATTTTACAAGCACTAATTCCAAAAAAAAGAATAAGGGAAAAGCATTGAGGTATAGGAATTTGTGATTCCTATAGTATGCTTCTTTCTTTTGATTTTATATATGTAATTGATGATGAAAAATTGCCAACTAGGATAATCTTTTTTGGTACTTACACCGATTAATGGTATATGTGTCTTTTTGGTTGTATTTAGTGTCCTAGGCTTTGTTGAATGAGCTATAAATGTGTAAATAAGGTCTAAATACTGGTGCAAGTATATATCTATGTTATTTTAATAGATGTATGAGATAATATTAGAGAATTTAAACTAGTTTACCTCCCTTATGATTTTGATAATTTTGAGATTGAGGAGTGAAAATGTAATTTATTCTATTTATGTAAGTTGTGGTGCATTATACAAGTAGTTTTAAGTCCATGAGGTTTGGTCTAGGTTTTTGTTTAGGCTCTTGGCACTTTAAGTTGGCCTTAGACTCCCTCGAGTTTTTAAAAGTATGAAAAAGCAGTGGTTTGGTTATGGGTGTCTAACCTTTTGTACATTATATTTTAAAAATGAAACTAACATTATTTGTTAGTTTAATGATTGAGTTTTCTGTGACCAACTAAATCACTTCGAATAGACATCCAATAGAGACTCAAGGTGCATCAAAAGTTTACTCCTAGTGTGCTATGTTTTGACCATAATTATGTTGTCATGTCTATGCAATTTGCCTCACCACAGTGTACAAGATAGAAGAGGCTCATCGTAGTGCATTGTAGTGTTGGCTGTGGGGAATAACCTCAATATTATCAAGCACAGCGAACACATTGTGGACTGTAGTAGATGACTCTGATTTTTAGAAAATTGATTTTTAAAATATTGTTTTCAATCATTTCAATTATATATGAATATCTCATGATTCTATACATATTTAAAACTTTGAGTTATGCCTGTTTGGCCTTGAATTATCTTAGAAATACTTGTTCTACCTAGGGTTCCAAATATTTGTGAAATTATACTCTATTAATGATAAGTTCCAAACTTTTATAGTATACCAGTAATTATTAATTAGTTTTAATCTTTTCAACTGTAGTAGAATTTTTTTCTTACCATAACAGGATACATGTATATATACTTTTGTTAATTTCTATTTTCAAGTTTAATTTCAATAACTATAGTTGACCTTTAATTTTGGTCCTTTTCTTTTCTATTATAATTAGCTCTTCTAACTGTAGTTAAGCTCTATTTATCATGGTAAGGTAACTAGGGTAGTTAAATCCTATTTATTATGGTAATATATATTATTATTGT